GAATCGATTTATGAACAAGAGCCTCAACTCTGAAAATAACAGAATGAGCTATGTATCAGTCCACATTGATTTCAGGGGGCGAGGGGACCAAAGAGATTCCCACATATCCTTCAGGAGGTAGTCCTAGCACAAAAAAAGGTCACGTCCTTGTAATGAGGTTTATGCTTTAATGGACTAAGTTTTAAAGGTATGTAGACCCTTACCAATGTAGGTACAGATTCAGTAGTATGGATCAAAACAACTAAGGAGGTAAATACTTCCTGTGGCAGTTGGGCACCTACCATGTTGAGCTACATTAATGAAACTTTCTAGCCGGCTATCTGTGCCCTGGGGTGTCTAACATCTTTGTGTACTTAGATTTGCAGCCTTAAATATTGCCATCACCTATGAAAACAGCATTTGATCACGACTGCAAACTCTAGTTGTGCTACATATTATTTACCTTGGAAATAATCCACAGATGTAGGGGCAAAACTATAGCATTGCAACTGAAGCGAAACTATTCAGTCTAGATGTACATGTAAGCTGCCACTTAGGATTATTTAGGCAGCAGTGACTCACTATAAATCCATGCCAGTGACTATGGCGTGGTGATGGGTAAGTCTAGTTGCTCTGGCAAGACTTAATAAATATTGTTCTGCAAAAGGGAGCTTTTCTCCTTGGCAACTTTTTGGACCGCAGCTGGCTGAGAGGAAATGAGAGCTAATGCTTGGAGGGGAGACTACAATTTGTGTATCTCTGAGTCCCCTAAGAAAGGCACGAGTGAAAGGCTAGAGGGAAGTTAAAAATGGGAAGCAGAACAGCTGAACTGAAATACTATACCAGCAGACTAATGTCTTTAAAATATTCATGGTTTTGTTTCATTAAAATTTTCCAACTTCCAATTAGAATTGGATGGCCAAGTTCTGTAAGAATGATTTTGATGTAAAAAGCTGTTTCTCCATTAATATGTTACCACATGGGAGTTGCATACATCTCCATTCTTCCCTGTGATCCATGCTCACCAGAAGAAACAATAAGGTTGCTTGGCTTCTGATTAGAGCAGAATACCATGAAGGGAAAATACAGTTTTGGGATGAACTGACCTTAAACTAGTGTTTGAGGAATATTCAATATACCAGAATGGCTTTTTTTTTTTTTTTAAATTGGGAAATATTCTGTCAACACAATACCTTTCAACATCTTTTTTTTTTTTTTTGATATTTCTGTTTAATGGCAAACAAAGAAAATCTTTTCACTACAATTTTGAAGAAAAGTACGTATTTGAATATCTCATAGGATGGTCATCCGGACATTAGAAGTTTTTGAAATACTTAAAAAAGTTCTGCAATTAGGGGGAGACATATTGGAAGTGTCTTCTGTGCTACAAGTCCTTCTGGTCTTCTACTAAAGGACAATTCTTAGATAGCAGTTTTGTGTTCCCCAGTTGGGAACCTATGAACCTAAGCTCAATAATAAGAATATCTTGTTTGCTTTTTCTGCAAATAAAACCTAGAATTTTTGTTCCTGGATAGCTGCGTGGGGAAAATGTTGCTAAGTTTCGTGATTTTACTTGACGAACCTCATAATATTTAAGGGTACATCATTAATCTAGACAATGCACTGATAATATTAGTCAGCTAAAGAATTGCCCTTTGATTTTTTTCTAGCTTTCCCAAAAACAGTTGAATAGAACTATTGCAGATAAACATAGTGTCTCATTATAATTTACCTACAAAATTTGAATTTCACAGTCAGGATACTTGTATCTACAAACCCAGGTTACTGGTAGAAATTATTTAAATATTTTTTCAGATAATGAACAGGCTCAATAAAATTACAAATTATTTTTACAACTGATAAATATAAAAGTGTCTAAATTCATTTAATATAAACCCTAGAACTTGTTTAATGCTGTCCGCTACCATAACTTTCTTTCCTTTCTGTCTGTCAGTGATTGTGAAAATTATTGAATTGAAACTCTGCAAAAGAGTTTCACCAGGAGTGAGATTAAGGCAAAGTCACCAAAGGGAAATTGAAATAACTTCTCCTTTATATCTGTTTCTCTGCAGCACCATTACATGTCAGTAGCGTTGTTTAGCATGCTTTTTATATATTGCTCATTTGGGCCCTGCTGGATAAATTACATGGGAAGTACTTTGCTGTTACTGGAAGAAGTTTTTTGCAATTGCAAACAGCAAGAAAACATAGTTATTAAAAATTGATAAAATATTGGTATTTTTACTGCAAACTAACTAGTAGCTATTATTGGCACTGCTTAGAATTCATTTAATTTACTTTGCTTTCAATTAGGGTTGTGCATACAAAAAAGTTTGCTTTGGTATTGCTGCTAGCTGAATAAAGCATAGTGAGAGATACAGCTCTTCAATGCACTATTTATGGGAAAAACAGCATATATTACCGTTGGAGCTAGTACAACGGCCTGTGGCTGAAGTTGCTTAATATTAGCCCTGTCTAGCCCTATTAGCCCTATTTTCAATGGCTTAGTGCTGTACAGAACAGTTCAAGCTGAAATTTGCTATGCTTGCCTCTACCACAGGTAGAATTTTTTGAGTTTTCTCAGCAATAATTCCTTAGAAGTTTCCAAGAATGAAATTAGGGGGAGAAAAGTAATGTTTCAATGGTTCCTGTTTCTTTTGGGCAGTGCGCTAAAGTTTGGCGAAGGGCTCACCTCTGAGCTGTGGTGCCGCTGGGAAAGTGCTACACATTATCTTCTGCCAGGTGGATGTATTGTAACACGTCTCTCTCTCTAGAGGCAGCTACATCATCATCTACAGGGTCTGGTAAGGACTGCTGCAGGTGCTATTTTGGGCAGGACCAAATGAGCAGAGGGTGTGGAACCAGCTGCCACTTGAAATTCAAATTTACCTGGGTACTGGCAGGAAGAGAAAAATGAAGCCAGGGCAACCTTCCCTTTCTCTGTCATATGCAGTGGCATCCCAACCAAGCTGCCAAACGGCCGTGCAATGGCACTATGTCCCCCTGAGCATTCAGCAGTGTGCTTAGCAGAGGATTGCTTTCCTAAGTCTACCAGAAGCAACCAATGTGATTATCCTCAGTGCAGTGATTTCAGCTGCTACATAAATATGAACCGAGAACTCAGCCCCAAAGGCAGCTCCTTGGGTTTAGGGCCAGAGCCCTTCATTCCAGGATGCCCGTCACGTGGAGTGAGTCACTAGCCCTGGAAATGGTTATTATGCAGACTTGCTCGTTGGCATCCTCCTTGAAAGCTGCTGCTGCTACATATTCACTTGTCATTCCTGCCAAGAATCCTCTCATCAGCAAGAAGTTGTTTTCGACCTCTTTCTGCTCCTGGCAGTTGGCCTGCCTGGATGACACAGAAGCTTGAGGTCAGAGACTCCCAGCCTCTGCTTGTACTGGTGTACGGTTTCTTGAACCTGATCCCAGAATTATTTGCTTATGCTGAAGGCATCAAGTCCTTCTTCTCTGGTCATTCAACACAGCTAGTGGGTACACTGTAGTGGGTCAAGATTTGGCTAAATTGTCAACCTCTGAAAAACTTGCTCATTATCAGCCTTTTAAAGCTTTTCTAAATGTTCCTACAAGCGAGCATGGAGGCTTCTGTAAATACGAGCATGTTCCTCTGTGCCCAGCATTTTTGTGGGCTGAACAAAGCTAAAACATCATATGGTGTTGAGCACCTCAGTAGGGCAGTGAAGTGCTGAGGGAGGGTCCTTCCACCTCTCATTGAAATTAGCAGCTTTGTAGCAACCTCAGAAGTGACTGAGGACTCCTACATTTTTGACAGATGGTTTATGGAGGAGATTGCAGACAGTCAGCTCTCACTTGGCTAAGAATATGACCTGCTGCCACTCTTACCCCATTACAGCCGTTACTTTTCAGAATAAATGTGTCAGGCCTGTGTTTTTGCCGGAGTTGTTTATAACCTTTCCAGAGCTCAGAATAGAAGTCATGAATTTCACGTCTGCTAGGAAACAGTTGTGTAAATCACTGGTAACGCATGAACTGTTTCTCCTGTCTCACAGTTTGTCCGCTCCAGCTGCAATGACCATGATCCATTTGTCTTGTTGGACTGGTAGGGAGGTCATTCTCACTGCTAATTAAAGTTCCTCTTTCTGTGACATCTTAGGACTTGGTGTTATTTTACTTCAATAAAAATGCTGCGTTCCTCTGCAGCATAGACAAATAATGATCTTGGAGATTCTAATGACTAATTCACATGTGCCTTTAATCATCTCTCTTTTTGAATTTATATAAATACTTTGAGAAAAAATTGATCATATTATCCCTCTTCTGAGTTCAGGCTATTTCTATAATTAAAGCTTGTGTTTCTACAATTAAAACTGTCTTTAAAAGCTGGTCCGGCATGTTTGCTATTTTATTAGTCATATTCCCCTCTCTAAGGAACTTTCATGCCTGTGAATTCAAAGACGACCTGTATACAAAACAGAGCAGTGGTTTTATTATTCTTTCCTTTTGCTTCCTTGGAGCAAAATGATCAATTTCTATTGTTAGCTCTCTTCTGTCCCAGTCATTACTGTTAGATAATTTCAAACTTATTTGTAAAAGCATCCAGTGTTTACATAGCAGTGAATCTCAACTTACTGCAGGAGCTATACGTTGAAAAAGTATCTTAAGCTGGTGTAGGCTGAAGTCTGATGGACAAGCTCTGACAAATCTTATTCCAGCTATTTAGGATGTTCTTCTCTGCCCTGTGACAGAGTCACAGTTAGGTTATTAACCTCGGTTTAAGGGCTTCAAGGGGAACACACTTTCTGTACCTCAGCTGCTTTTGGCCATAGTCCAGCATAAACCAGTGTGGAAGATGTAGACCCCCAATCAAGCTCCGTGTAGCGCAGGTAGGGTGCCTGCACAGCTCTGCAGCATCCTGTAGCGCTCATGACTTTCTTGGATACTTTCTCTGGAGATGTCTCATATCAGTACTTGCTCATGAAGTCTGAGTGATGAATGGGCCTCTCCTTCCCACCAGGTCTTTGACTGATGGCCTTCATTTACAGCTTTGAGCCTGATGGCAAACACCATGTGACATCCTTTGAGTCTGGAGTGACGGGGCTGAGAGTGACTGCTCCATCCTCACTGTCTGGTGACGAGCTGCAGGAGGTGACCCCAAAGCAAGCACCACTTTGCAAAGCTCTACTGCCTGGGTGGACGGCTTGACTGATGTGGTTAAAAGCCACTTGAGTTTCTGGAGGATGGGGATAATTAAATGTTCCTCATGTTGCAGCATGGGTATAGAGGAAAAAAAATATTTTTACTCTCTTGCATACTGAAGGCCAAACCTCCCTGTCTCTACAGCCGGATGGAAAAGAACACAGGGATTTAATAACCTTACTAGAGAGCAGGGATCACCATGTCATGTCCCACAAGCAGGATTTTAACTCATTCTGGAAACAAAACCTTAGAAAGGTGAGTTCACTTCACAGTTACCTTGCTCATCCCTTCTGTATTTACTATGATGTCCCTCAAATGAAATTTATTCACTAGCTTCTTGCATTACAGAGATAGAATAGAGTGTATGCTAATATTATCCCCTTTCCAATAATTTCTATTTGGTACCATTTAATATTAGCATGCTCTGATAATTGCTAGAATTTGATTTATTTGTTTTAATCTGAATCCCCATATTCCACAGGCGATAATCAGCGGTCTTTTTCTTTCTCTCTCCCATGGGAGACTGACCTTATAACTTCTTTCCTTGCTAAAATTCTGCTCTGTTCCCCAGGTACCAATCACATTTCCTTTCAGATTTGTCTAATTGATTGATGGAATTAAGCTAAACTCAGAGCAATTGCTCTTGACCTTTATATAGCAACTGAGTTGTTGCTTCTATTTCAGAGCTGAAGGGAAGCTGGTGTTCCCAAAAGAAAGACTGTTGTGCCAAAAGCCTGTCTGCTTTTCCTATTGAATAGTTTTACTTCTTCCCCAGAAACCTTACTTCATATATACGCTCGGATCATCGGAGCTACAATAATAATACCACCCTGGAATCCACGAGAGCCAGAATCTACTTCGTATTGATTCATACTGAGAAAAACATTTTTGGAAGATTGCAGTCTCCTGGATGCTAGCCAGAATTGCCTGGGTTCTATCAGTATGCTGCAGCATAATGTACAAGCTTCAAAAGGGATTAATACATAAAGTCAACACACATTATTCTATTACGTTAAGTTGATAGCATCAGTCTAATCATTAAAAGCGTAGCAACAGTTTAATTTCCAAACAGCTGTATCCATTTTATGTTTTAAAATCAGTCCTTCTCCAAAAAGTGGGATGGGATTTCTTGGATTTTTTTTGTCGGAGTCGGGCTCGGGTTCACCTACTAGCATAGCATGCCCTTTACGTCTGGTGGAATTCTTTCTTTTACCCCTGTGGCTATATTGCAGGTTCACTGGGCTAATATTTAAATAATCAAAATCATGAGCTTTATAAAGTCATGCTATTTGATATTGTTGCATGAAGGCCCTTTATAAGCTGAAGGATGCTTCCAGTATCTGATTCAGACAGGGAGGTATTATCTTGGGAATCTCAACTATCTGATGCAAGAGAAGTTTAAAATATCTTTGGAAAGGAGAAGGAGAAAACCATACGACATTCCAGTATTGCTTGCCATACACAGGATTCAACATTTATGCCCATCCTGCATCCGTTAGGATTTAGATGGGATGTCACAGCCTCTCTTGTACCCATGTCTAAATAAATGGGTGGTTCTTTCTGCAGGCTACATCCTCCAAGGTCAGGATTAACCTCAGTTGTAGTACATCAGTTTTATGATTGAGGGATTGTATTTCAGTTTGGGAAAAAAAAAAAAAAAAGAAGTCTTTATTGGCACATTCAAGAATACAGAGGAAATCACTCCAGAAAGATTGTAAAAGCTCAGACACCTCAATAAATTAAGGTTGGAAGCCTCCTTCAGTTGGCACTAGACTTCAGAATTACAGATTAAAAGCCAAATACAGCTATCAACTATACTGTTTCACTTTTCACTGATGAATGTGTTTTTTAGGATGGTGAAGTCAAAGGCAGATCTGGCTGTACTTGTCTTTCACTTACTTCCTTTAAAGGGTTAAAAAAATTCCAACTTTCATTTTGGAGCTGTTTTAAAAGAAAAGTCACCTATCTCAATTGAAGGAATGTGTATATGTCCTCTGGGAACCCTTCTAATTATAGATGTCAATGTGTCCTTGAGCTTTGAAGCAAATGATGTTATCCAGTTCAATGTATTGTACATTATGCATGATTGTTTCATCTTTCTGTCCAAAAGTACATTTTCAGCTTTTGCTCACAGGTTAATTTTAATTTTAATTACATTATCTCCTCTGGACATGAAGGCCCTATAAGTACCTACAGAGATAGGCATAATTCATTTACAAGTACACATGCAACAAATTTCCTCTTTTTAAAACTGACTTTTTCTAAGCAATGCATTTTCATTTCCCAATATTGTATTCATCTGAATACAGATTTCATGAGAACTCACAGCGATGGAGTTACTATTTTGTGCTTGCCAAACTGAATGTATGAATGTCTTGCCCAAAGAGTTCTTAGCTACATACTTTTTTTAATACGATGATTAAAATAAATGCTTCATTCTAGTGGTGAAGAATTATTTTCTGTGTTTTGGAGTACATTATTCTGTGAGTGCAGAAGTCACTAGGAAGAGAAGTGGTTATTATTAATACAAGCCAAACTGACAAACATACCAGAAATAATTATCATAACTTAGAGAACTATATGTAAGGTTGAAAAGGTTTTTAAACAGAAGCAATATTGGTCTGGCTTTCTAGCATGCAAAATCCCCTTCCAGTCTGAAAGAGAAGCAGGATCCTTCCAAATAAGTATGGGTGGAGAACGTTTGTTCTAAGTTTAACTTAATTATGTTGTCCAATTAATTAGGAACTGTTCAGTTCCTCGAGCATATAGGTGACCTCCTGATCGTCAGGACTGAAAGCCTGATTTCACTCACTGGCTCCAACATAACGCCATTAATCACCGCTCTTTCCTCTCATACCAGCGCCAGCCTTCTAGACACTGTAATCAAAGTAAGCAGCAATAACCTGCTAATTGCCAAGTCCCCCAGGACTGACACAATTACCTCCACAAATCAGCCGTCATCCACAAGTCACCAAAAAGTCCATGGGGCATAACCAGGCTCTCAGGTGCTGCTGCAATTGCTCTAAGCAAAGCAAGTGTAGCACCCACCTCACCAG